CCCAGGGGCGGGGCCGGGTGGGTTAGGCAGGGCAGGCCCCAGGATCGAACCCCTGGCCCCTTTGTCTGCTTGAAGGTGCTTTAGTCTGCTGAACTATTTGGCTGGCCCTGTAATACATTTTTAAAATACACACATTCATTGTATATTTTGTTCATATTGCTCATAAGAAAAATTGAAAACTGATACAAATTCTGTATCTTCTTTTGTTTCCTTGATTCCCTACTATCACTTTTAAGTAAATCAATTCTGTGCACTTTATGGTCACAAATATAAGTTATGTAGATTTTTTTATTGTTTCTCTTTGTTCCTGTTCTCCACATATCTGCAATTAAAAAGAAAACTCATCAAACTAAATATCAAAGATCTTACAGTCTACCAGGAAGGTACAAAGAATGTTCGCACAATTTGTATTGTCTATATTTTAATAAAAAACATTAATCATTGATGTAATGTTTAGGTGTTTATTTTGAAAACAATATTGGTAATTGTTTTAATAAAATAGAAAATACGCTAAAATATGGGAAGGCAGGTATGAAAAAACAGGTAAAGAATCAACATACTAACTGTCTCAAATGTCAGAAGTAGTGGTAGAAATGATCGTGTTATGAATGCCAGGAAGTAATAGCTTAGAAATTGCTTCACTGAGAGGCTATGGAAGACATTCGTAACAGTATCTTTATAATGTCACCATAAATGAATAAAATCAGTTGTACTTGTTCCTTAGGAATCTGGGTATATGAGTAGCCATTGTTGGTCACTAAGTCTATTTGACTTATGTTAAATTATGGGCAACATAAGAAGTAATTTATTCTTTTATTTTTAGAAGACTTAAATATAAATCCATCATGTGATATAGAACATTCCTTCTAGAGTATTAATTTTAGGCTTTCATCTAAAAATAACTGCAAAAATTAAGATGATCATGGGTCACTGATCATTCCTTGGCAATGGTTCCTTTTGTTGTTCCTCTAAGAATTGAAAGGTAAGGTTTTTTACAGCTGCAACTTTTGCTTTAACATCTTGCTGTCTTTCATAGGCTTTACTAAAAGCCAGCATGTCAAGAACAAACTTTTCTTCACAGTGTCTTTTATGTATTTCTTGAGCCCTACAGGGAAAAGAGAAAGGCATTGTGGCAGTGTTAGATTATCAAAATCATGGCAACTATACTGTTAGTAATAACTACTGGATTTTATCAAAACACAAAAGATAAGTCATAAAAAGTAACTACTTATAGAACTGTATATCTAAATAACATTTGGATTGACTAATATTTGCTAAGCGTCTCATTGCCTGAGACTGAAAATTCTTACAAACCATCTCGTAAGCTCCCCAAAAGTCATCCATCAGCCTATGCTATACTTCATAAATTTTTTTTGTAAGCCTCACTAAATTTAGGCTTCTAGGACATTGTTATGGATGGAGTGTATTTCCCCTACATTCTTATTAAAACCTACCTCAGTACCTTGAACTGTAACTGCATTTAGAGATGGGGATTTTTAGAGGTTAGCAAGCTTAAGCTTAGTACAAGTTACATGGACAAGTTCCGAGCAATGTAACATTCTTAGAAGAGTAGGAGACATTGGGACATGGACTCACAGAAAAATGGCCCTACATGAACATAGCAGGGCAGCTGTCTGCAATCTAGGAGGCACGACTCAGACCTCAGGGGTTAGTACAAGGCTAAATGAGTTAGTTCTTTAAAATTTCTTAGAGAAACACTTAGTAATTCCTATAACTGGATGAACATTTGGCATTCATCAGAACAGGAAGTGTAGGAAAAGCAACCACATGGCAGAAAGATTGTAGTTCTCACTGAGTAATGCTGATTTTCACAAGCCTGGCTATCCGTGTGGCTATGCCCAGGGAGCTCAGCATAGGGAGCCACTAAGAGTACAGTTAGTACAGCTGTCCTTGTTTGAAGCCTAGCTTTGAACCTCATGATATTGTGGATGACTTATATATGATCTCTCTGCCCATTTCCATCTTTAATCAAAGGCAATCCAATTCACCAGGGTTTGTAAGAAGTTTACTGTAGTAATTTATCTCAAAGCCTTAAAGAATTGCCTAGCATTTAATAATCATTCAGTGAAAGCTACTACCATTATGAGTCTAGAGCTCAAGACTGCAGTCATGTCTGAACATGTAGTCAACTAGAATTAACAGTAATATATATATATATATATATATATACATATATATATATATATATATATATATGATAAAGGATACTAGTTAAGTCTGGGGAGTATATTTAATTAACCATCCTCACAAATACAAATTATAAATTATGGATAGAATTTATAGAGAATAATACCTTAAAGGAATTTAAAATACCTTAAATACCTGAAAATTCCTAAAGGAATGAAAATTATCCAGTAAGAAATTGTATTTCTACATACCAACATCAAGCAATTGGAAAAATGAAATTATATTACACTATGAACAGAGAATCATAAAATACTTGGAAATAAGTTTTATAGGAGAAAAAAGAAAGATACCCAAGGCCTATATCGGAAGATAAGAAAATACTGCTGATGGACATTTTAAAAAGCTAAATTAGGGGACAGGTATAACATTCAATATTGTTAAGCTTTCAGTTCTCCCCAAAATGATAGCTGAATTCAAAAGAACGCCCATTTATATGACAAGAGCATTTACCTAGAAATTAACATCTAAATTTATTTTAAATACATGTTACATTTTAGATTTATTTAATTTAGACCTATTTAGAATGTATTAATTTAAGTGTTTTGAATGTATTAAGTTGTCATTTGCTAAACAAATACGATGGAAGAACAACCCAGAAACAACCAATGTAAACTTCAATAAAGACAAATTAAATTCTCCATTTTTCTCTCCATTTGTGTGGCAAATTAATATTCATGTGCCTGCTTGCAACAAGCTTATATTATCTCATAGTTTCCACGGGTCAGAAGTCCGAGCACAGCAGGGTCAGCTGAATTATGCGCACTGTTCTCCTACGGTCAAAGTCAAGATCTCACCTACACCTGTGACTCCCAAGCAGGCCTCGAGGTCCTCTTCCAGGATTTCTGTCTTCAGCATTCTTTTTCTCCTTATAGATGTGGGTCTCCTCCATTTTTAACTCAGCAAATAATGCCAAATGCTTCTCCTATTTTGAATCTATCCGAATTTCTCTTTTTCTTCTGGATTTAAATTCTAATGTGATTACACACTGCCCACCTGGATAATCCAATAATCTCACTATTTTAATGAGGATTTACTGAAATCCTTAATTACATACGCAGAATCGCCTTTACCAGCACATTCACAGGTGTAGTATTTCAACATGTTCATAGTCCTGGGATTACGCTATGATATCCACCTTTGTGGGAGCCATTATTTTGACTAATACAGGCATCTTATAATATTTGATTTTAGTTACTAAGAGTGTACATAGAATGTTAGCTTTTAACAATGAAAGTCTAATCCTGATACAATGGAAAAGGAAGTTATCATAAATTCATGAATTTAAGTAATTTTATAGAAATAGGGTAAATTTAGTGAATTCAGCATCAAAGACCTGCCATCGCTCTATGTCATTGCTCTTGTGGTGTGGACTTGAAGCGCATTTGGGGGTCCCACAGCCCACAGCCTTTCATCAGGTATACAGGTTCTCTCATTTCAACCTCTCTAATTCATGCCTAAATACTCCTGTGAATAATTTATCAACTTCCTAAATTGGAGCTTTTTTATTTCCGCTTCAATTTTTTTTCTCCCTCATTCCACAGCAGCAGCAAGAGTTTCAGTAATGACCTCAGTAATTATTGAGATTCATCTGCATGCTTTCAGGTCAACTGACTGATACATTTATGCAGATCAACGACCTCAAATAGTATCAGAACTGAATAAAACAAAAGACGTTTGTTTTGTTCTCTCTCACTCTTGAGTCATGGTTCCTTTCTGATTTGTTTTGTTAATATTCAATGTTTTAAAATATTTAGAATAAAATCCAGTAATGTATTTTGGGATATACTGATAAGCAACACATTGGCTTTTTCCCATATGTTTGAAAGGATGGTACCTCTGCAGAAACTTGCAAGAGAAGACAGTTCAGTAGGAGCTGGGAAGATCATTTGACTCTATCCCGTACAAATTACTGACTGCCCATCATTTAATTTACTGTCACAAAACTAAACTAATGACACTTCCATCACCTTCTTTTATACCAGTCTAGTGTATACCAGCTCAGCTTTCATTGTCTTTTCTATAATACATTTTTAATAAAATATAGAAAACTACTTCCAAAAGTTACATACACAAATATAAAGTACACATTGAGCAAAGTAATTATAAATTTGTAGCAGAATAATACACTTTTCATAGTGAAGAAATTACTTCTTATAACTCGGAAAAGAAAAATGTTTTCTTCTTTAAACTTTTTCTACCGGAGCATGTCGGCATAGGGTAACAAAAAGTTTGATACAGGAGCAAGAAAGTTCAAGCCAGCCTGGGCAACTGACAGAGACCTTCTGTTGTACTAAAAAACAAAAAGGGCTGGGAATATTATTCAGTGATTGAGTGCTTCCCAGCACATGTAAGACCCCAAATTCAGTTTCAAGTCTCACAAAAAATACACACAAAAATCAACAAAAGATTCTGTGTATTTGCTAATCATAATTAAATTTTAAAGAAATAAGTGGCTATAAATATATCCCAGTATTTTAACACAAATCCAAAAAAGTTATGTATATATTTATGTATGTAACAAAAATTTATGCACATTTAAAGATACACAGGTCAAAATATCACTAGTGTAAAATTTTCGTTGATTAGCTCCAAAATATGAAAACGTGTGAAAGATTTTGAAAGGGTAAAGAGAAATGACTTGAGGTTCTGCCTTCCATATGTTTCAGAGTTCTTTATGCCTCTCAATCTCTTTGAGCTATTTTATTATGCTATAACTTGAACAAATTGTGAATAATGTGATTTCTTTTTAAATAATAATGCATGTACATTTTGTCTAGTAAGTTTGCAATAGATTATTTCCCATTAGATATTGACTAGCTCTGAATATACTGTAAATTTATTTTGGGATTCTTCATTTTCTCTCTATTCTTCATTTTCTTCTCATAGTCTATAAATTTTCATTTGGATCAGTTATAATATCTTATTTTATTTTTCATTACTGGATTAAATAAAAATTTGGGGTGTGCACATGTTGTATTTGTATGAGCCATATACTTATGGTCCTAAAATATATTCTTCAACAATTAATGAAATTTCAGGTAACAATATATAGACTGAAATATTTTGAATCAATTTTCTTTGATCTTCTATTTCACTGTTTGGCTTAAATCAAAAAATAGTTTTGTGTTTTGTTTTTTCATTTGTCTGACCAGTTATCCAAAGCTTGGGCTGGGGATTGTTTCCTGACCTATTTCTTTCTTTGTTTGGTACAGGGAATTGAACTCAGGAATTTGCCCTTGCCAGATAGGCACTGTGCTGCTGACCTATATCCCAATCCTTTGTGATATTTTTCTTGAAAAGAGGGTTTCATGGTAAACTACATCTTGAAAATTCACCCTTTCTTTCTATCGGATTCCTAATGGGCTTTACCATATGACTGTCCACTGAGATTTATCGACATTTTTCTAATGAAGTTCATGCTTTTCAAGGAATTAGCATTTTCAAATGCTCTCCTATATAAACTTCTGCTTTAAAATATGCATTACCACATTTATCTCCTCAGGCTTTAACCTATCCTAAACTTTCAAATTCACTCACTCTTTTCTCTCTGCCTGTAATGGTCACTCAATGATTTCCCCAAATCTAATAACAACTGTACTTTAATTCTACTTTTTGTGAGAACCCAAACCTGCACTTATGTTTGCCACTGGACTTGAGTCCTTAGAGGAGCAAGAATGCCATTTCTCTTTACATGGGAGGGCAGAAGAAAAGGGAGGTGAAGCAACACTTTGTTACCTCACTAAGTCAGCTTTGTGGAAGTCATGATGGTGTGCAGGAAACCTTGGCCAAAGATATGGCACCTCAGCGTGCTGAGTTTTTCAAATTGAAGGAAAATGAGAAAACTATAGAAGCAGCAACAAGTATCTAAACTTCTCCTGTCCCCTCCTTTCTAAAGACACAGTGACAGATGTCTTGGTCTGTAACTGGAGGGAACACTGCACAAAGAGGTCACAATTAGGAACTTGCTGAGTTCTGCCCAGACAAGCACCACGTAGGCCACATATGCTTTTTGTCCAACAATTATTTCCATTCAGCCATCCATTCTTTATCAAAATTATAGGCAAAAATGTAGTTTCCCCTGAACTTTTAAAATTTATTTATGTATTTATTTAATACAGAGTCTCACTACACAGCTCAGATTTGTAGTGATCCGCTGTTTCAGCTGCCCCAGTACTGGGACTACAGGCAGGCATCACCACACCCAGTTTTAGTGGCTTGCACTGTGCGTCTTGGGGTCCAGGGCCAGCATGGCATGCGGTATTGGGGATCAAATCTGGGTCCTTGCAATTGCCAGGCAGATGCTGAGACTGCTAAGCTACCTCGGCAGGCCAGTGGCTATTCATTTCTGAAGGTTGGCATGCTTAGTAAAACTTTGTTTAAATAAATTTGTTACATTTCTCTGTAGTGGATCTCTTTTTTAAAGGATCTCAAACATGAACCATGTGACAAATGAAGAAGGAAATATTTTATCACTTACATTTACTATGTACTAGAAATTTTAACTCTCTCTTGATAGTTTTGTATTATTGCTGTGTGGTTATTTAACTTTGGTAGTCTTTTGGCCTAATACCTTATGTCCCACCTTGATCTTCAGTTTCTTGGGGCACGTGATCTTTATGTCCCCATATTGCCTGTGATAGGAATCTGTAAGAGTTTAAAGTGCATCACTGCTTGGATACAAGTACTTCACTTGTGATGTTTTTCTTTTGAGTAAAGAGTGTCTTTTCCTTCCCATTTAATTACTACTTACCGATTTGAATACTACAAAGCAATATGATTTGCATAACACCATAGAGCTTTGTGTTGGGTAATGTATATTTGTTACATACAGTGTCCTGGCACAGCGCATATTTGAGGGAAAAGTATCAGCAAACATAGAGAACAGAAAATTGAAAGCTGGGCAGTGGAGACTAATTTATTTTCTCTAGAACAGAGCACTGTTAGGTGAAGAAAGTGGGAAGAACATCACAAAATTTTGTGTGAGATGATATTAGAGAAGAATACACTTTCTGGAATACCAATCAGAGATTCAGCTTCATTCTTTTGGGAATGGGAAGCTGTGCACACGTGTAAGTAGGAAATGATACAATCAGAACTTTATGTAGGAATAGTTGAGATTCGTAGGGTAGCAAGCAGATGTGCCAGGAAGAACCAAGCTAGAAATATAAATCTCACTGGGAAGAGTAATGTGAGTTCTTATGTCAAGAGAGTTTGAAATGGAAGAGAAAAAGTAGAACTGAAAAAGGATCTACTTGGAGCACACCTTCTAGGAGTAATTTGGTAGGAAGACCCTTAGATTTTGGCACTGGGAGAGGCTGAGCTGTCAAGGACTCAGGTCTCTGGCACTGCTCAAAGGGCTGGTAATACTGTTGCTCAGGACATGAACAACTGAATTAAGTTTGGTTTTGAGTAGAAAGACTAAGAGGTGGAGGGAGAAAAGCATTATATTATGGTCTGACCTTTGATACTATATTAGTGCATTACTTCTTGTCTTTATTTACATTGTGCAAAGTAGAATGTATCATGCTACAAGCAAAATGTCATTCATCAGGATTCGGTACTTGGTATGGAATATTCACAGGTAACTGACTTATAGGCTTCTGGCCAATGTAAACTATACTTACCTGATTTTCTTCATGTGCTTAAGTACAATGTTTTGATATTTTTCTGCTTTAAGGTTTTCCTGAACCATCAACTTTTTCTCTCTCAGGACAGCTTCATTCTTGTTGAGTCTGTCAATGTTGACCATTCCTTTGAGCAAAAGGGTGCGCTCATTATTTAGGCTTTGAATTAATAAGTGGTCTGCTGCCTTTTGGTTCTTTTGTTCTAGAAAGAGAGCTCTTCTTTCTTTAACTTTTTCAAGATAATTTAATCTTTCCTGCAAAAGTTGTTGTAAACCTCTCTGAATTGTCTCCTTATGTCTTTCAATTAGCTTCCGTTCAGTATCTTTTTTCTTGATTACTTTTTCCTCAGTAGTTATGCTAGCTCTTGCTTGGGCAGTTTGTGCTGTGACTACAGTTTTTACTTTTTCTGTACGGAGATCTTGCTTCTTTTGCTCTGTGTAATATTCATCAACATCATTAAGCATTTGGAGTTTTATACCAAGCCCCTGTGTAGGAAATTTCTTTCTTCTTTTCCTCTCCAATACTGTGTCTTTTTTAATTAGTGGTTTTGGCTGAGTGATAGAAAATGGTTGGGTGAGGGCAGGAAAACTAACTTGTTTTTCTTTCAGTGCTTCTGCATACTTCAGTGGACTTGAAGTATATATAGGTAGTTTGAAAGATGATATACTAAAACTGGTATCTAATTCTTCATCCTCAGTTTCAGCCACAGACTCCTGACCTACATAAGACAGCAGACACACATAAAACACAAGCACATCTGATTTTCTGCCCAAATAGTTTTGAAAGCTATATTAGTAAAACTGAGGAGAACCTGTTATGTACTTTACTAAACATAATTTTCCTCAAGTTCTTTTGCAGCTCAGAATTTTACAAAGGAAAAATGACTACTAGAATTTTTAATACACAATTGCATTGAATTGGATTTTTACATTTTCTCTATTATTTCTAATAATTATTTAACCTGCACTGATTCAATAACACCATCTTCCCTTACATATATTTTAATATGGTTTGCTAAAATAAAAACTTTAGTCAAAGTCAACTGAACATAGTAACTCAGCAAAAACCAGGTGAGAGTTATTATGGCCACAGAGTCAGAAGGCTCAGGCTCTGTTCGGCAGACTTAAACACAGGCAGCGCACGGTCGCGGGCCCCGGGTGGAGGAATGCTGCCTGTGTCCTCGAGATCAGGAAGCAGAGAGAAGCAAAGAGTGGGAAGCAGACCCTTCCTGGCCACCCACCAGTCCCCTGTCAATTCTGCCCCCAGCCAACCTGTCAGTTCTGCCCAGACCCCATAACTCACCATTTGTGGTGCCCATATCCAAAGCATGTCATGTGAATGAATGTTACACCACAGAGTCATAAAATTAAGTGAATTGCATGGCATTTGATTTTCCTAGTTTGTGTGATGTGGTATGACACTAAGATTAAGTAGACTGAAGAAATTTCAGGATTTGGCTAATGTGTCCTGGAGAAAGCTATGATGCTGAGAATTAGGTAAAACCCCAACAGGTGATTCAGTCAAGATGAAATAGAAATAAAAATTTTAAATAAACTTTAAGAAGTCAAAGAAAGAAGTAAGAAGAAAACACATGGCATATAATAAAACACAGCTGGGCACAGTGGCATATGCCTGTAATCCCAACACTCAGAAGGCTAGGACAGGAGGATCACTGAGAGCTCAAGACCACCCTGAGCTATGTTGTGAGCTCAAGGCCAACCTGAACTACATAGTAATACCATGTCTCAAAAGACCAAATAAGCAAACTGGTAAAAAAATTAAACTAGTTAATAAATAATTAGGTATTAATGCCTTAAATATTATATTAAAAGTAAAACATTATTGGAATAGATTTTTTAAAAATGAAGATCCAGTGAAGATTGCCAGGGAGACAAATTTTAATTCAAAGGTACAGACAGGTGAAACACATATTATGGAAAAAAGTGCAAACATTAAGCATAAAATGATGCTACAACATTTGATTGAAAATGTCTAAGAGAAGAGAAAAATCAATAAAGATAAATTTATCAAGAAGAAGTAACAATCATAACTAGTTCTTGTGCTTTATAATGGAGAACAACACATCAAGTAAAACTAACAGAATTAAAGAGAGAATTCTGTAATTACACTAGAACAATTTGAATGCCTCATTTGCAAAAATGTCTATATTTTGATTCCTTGTCCACTTTTCCTTGGATTATTTGGTTTTCTACTATTGAACTGCATGAATTGTATTAAAATTTTGTTTTTATTAGTATGTATTTACAGTACATAATCACATTCATTGTAAGAAGGCATTACCTTTGTGTAACACATCATAATACTCTTTAGATCCCCCTCGCCCTTCCTTCTCCCTTCTCTCCTTTCCCAATGAGTGGTTTACAAATATCCCACACACACACTATTCTGCCTTTTCATTTTGCTGCTAGACTCCTTTGCATTGCACAAACCTTTAGTTTCATGTAGTCCCACCTGTTTATTTTTGCTCCTCTTGCCTGTGTTTTGTGGTCAGGAAAAAAAAATCATTGCTACAATTAATGTCAAGGTTATTTCCCCTACATTTTCTCTAAGAACTTTATGGTTTTGCATTCAAGGCTTTTCTGTTATTTTGTGGTATTAGCAATGGATTATAAAGGGCAAGTGCTCTATCACTGAGCTACACCTATTTTTAAGACTGTGTTCCACTTTGACTTCATTTTTGTGCATGATATATGGTAGGAGTGCAATTGTCTTTTGCATGTGTTTGAATTGTATCCAATTTTCTTGACATGCTTTATTAAACAACCTATTCCTTTTCCATTATTTATCTTTGGTGTCATTGTCATTCATTGTGTATACATGTGGGTTGCTTTAGGACTCTGTAGTTTGTCCTCTTGGTATGTTTCTGTTTTTATGAAGACTGAGATTTAAAAATGTGTGTTGTACCTTGAGATGCTATCTCTGAAAGGAAATTTGTATTCAACAAAGAGGGCCAAAAGTCCCATTACATGACTGAGCCAGAAAAGAGGGACTTATTTGAAAAATAGGACACATGTAATATATGTACGAACCAATTGGTACAAAAATAAAAGTGCTCTACAGTGAAAATGTAAAACATTAATGAATGAAGTTTGAGATACTTGATAATGTCTTTCTTCATCTTTTTTAGTTTGTTTGTTTGTTTGTTTGCTTTTTTTATTTATTTGGTACAAGGTCTCACTATGTAGCTCAGACTCATAGTGATCTTTCTCTTGTCAGCCTCCCCCAGTAGTGGAATTACATGTGTGCGCCACTATGCCCAGACTTAGTCGCAGGCTCAGCACGCCTTGGGGGCAGAATTGATGCAGCATGCGTGATCAAACCCTGGTCGCTGCACTTGCCAAAGCAGGCACTTATCATCTTTTTTAAAAAATCTGTACTTACTTATACATTTAGTACAGGGTCTCACTATGCAGCTCCCAACCATAGTGATCCTCTGTTTCAGCCTCCCCAGTGCTAGGATTACAGGCATGCACCATGCTGTTTTGGTGGCCAGCATTGCATGCGTGGGGTTCTGGAACCAGCACAGCATACAATACCAGGAATCAAACCCGGGTCCTTGCACTTGCTTAGACCACCGTGTTATCTCCCCAGCCTGTCTTTCTTCATCTAATTTATTTAACTGTCTTTATTTACCTGACTTTATTTAACATTCTTCTGAAGAATTTTCATCTGTTTATGCTTCCCATGACCACTTGCTTTGCCTTTCTTATATCATAATCCTGTAAATAGCACCACTGCCTTCATTAGATCCTATTGAGAACATTATTGGCTAAAACACAGACTATGTTAGGCAAGGAGAATGCAAAAAAAAAAAAAAAACCCTTTCAGTACAATGTCTATGTGAATAAGAGCTTTGTACTGATGATGGTTGCCACGACCCTTCTACATTAGAAGCAAGACAAGAATAACAATCGTGGGCCGGCCAATTATATCAGCAGATGAAAGCATCTGCAAGCAGGTGCAAAGGCTGGGGATTTGATCCCTGGGCCTGCTGTGCTGGTTGTGTCCCCAAGGGGCACACTGAGTCAGCAATTGAGACTGGGCGTGGTGGTGTGTACCTGTAATCCCAGCTCTTGAGAGGATGTAAACAGGCTGCTCACTATGAGTCCAGTCTAGCAGTGAGACCCTGAATACCCTGTAGACCCTTCCCTAAAATACAAAGATAAAAGATAAAAAGAATAATAATCGCAAATTCCATGCACACACATGTTCAAATCTGTAGAACTGGTGAATATGTAGATATATCATATATCTATATCTATATCTATATCTATATCTATATACATCTTCTCTATGATTTGGAGTGACCAACAACCAGCAAAAATTGTTCAATAGCAAAAGGTCCCCAAATGGTATCTATATATTGAGTTAAGGAATTGGCAATAAATATAGTTCCAGTGAAATGGGCTAAAGGTCACCTGTGCGTACATACCTGGCAAGAGACACTAGCAATGGTGTCCCCTTAGGATGCAAAAGCCACTGACAAAAAAATAATGCAAACTGTCATGTCATAGCGAAAACAGAAAAGGTAAAAAGTGACATGGGGTCACTTGGTATTTCATTTCTGACCCAAACTTCTGTGGGAAATTGTCTAGAAAAACAGTGATGCACGTTTTCTAAATACTGGTTGACACTGCTATGGGAATAAATTTACTGAGTTGTATGAGAAAATAACATAGGCAGCTCTAAGATTCTGCATTCTTATAGCATCTCATTGGGTTTTAAAATAACTAGCTCTTTGATTTGTAAGCTTAGAAATAATAATCACTTGCCCAATTATTTAAATAGTAGTCCTAACACTATGAAAATAATATATTAAAGTAGCTTCTAACTGCAAGTGCAGGGTGAAAAACAAGAGGAGAATGAAAAGTCAGTAGCACAGAGGCACACACAAAAGCACTGGACTAAACCCTTTATTGACCAGGGGTCCTCTAACACTGACCATAAAATTAATGACTCTTCCTGTTTCTTAGCTTCAAAAAATTTAGTAAAGTATGTGACTAGTTAGCAAAAAACATACAAATGTAAAACCTCCCTGTATAAGAATGTTGCTGAGTTGATTTTTAATGTTTATAACAAAAATAAAAAAGAAGAAACAGCCTGCCAATTAAGCTTTGCTGGCCAAATAATGCAGCCACAAATTTCTATTGTGTCTGCCAATGAGCTCTTTCCAAATATATTATGAAAGGGCCCCAAACACTGCATGTGCGCAGAGACCCTTCATCCCATGCTCTGCCCTAAAGGTGACACCGTGTTCAAGCACACGGGGGGCTTTCTGCTTGAAGCTATTCCTTTTTTCTCCTTCTTTATAAGGGGGTATAAAGGACTATGTAAAATGATGGAACATTCTTTAGTACAGTTTGAATACATAATAAAGGGACATTAAATGATCTTTTAATAAGTGTCTGTATTCAGTGTCAACTCTATAACTCAACTGTTATTGTAAATGCTAATTTGGGCTTACCTCACAAAATGCATCCTTCCACTTAAATGATGTTTTATTCTAGCAGGCAAATAAAGGAGGAGAAATGTTTCTTTATTTAAATCTCAACTTTCCTATCTTTTAACAATTCTGTTAAAATTCAGAAAACAAAAGAGATTGCAAAACTGCAGTTTCTACAATTGAAAAAAAAAAAAAAAAAGAAAGAAAAAGAAAAAGAAAAGGAAACAAAAACAAAAACAAAAACAAAAACAAAA